TTTCATCATCTCCTCAATGAGGTGGTCTCAAAAGTCGCAGTTACAACACACATAGGGCGCACCGCACCAAAGGGCGCACCGCACATTTTGAGGGGAAAAAAAATACGTTTAAGTGCGCCTTATAGTCGTGAAAATACGGGTAGTGTGGTTTTCAAGCAGCCATGCTATGACCATGCAGTCATTTTATATATTTAATATATTCAGTACATTTTTAATTCTCCATCATTAGTAACTATTCTGTTTGGTGACAGAGATGTAGTTTTAGTCTGACTTTTTAGTTTCAGATTTAATGATCTGATCATAAGAAAGTTACCAGCTATACTGAAAATTATTTAGACACCAGAAAGCTTTAGATTAAAGAATTTCTTGAACACTCTTAGTGTTATGAACACATTTCTTCTGACTGGAGTAATATTATCAGCTAAAGATTAGGGTGATATAAAGAGACATTATATTTCACTCTGAGAGACAAAGTACATTAAAAAATTTCAAAATAGCAGATAAAACATGGATTTGATCCAATGAAGATTTTCCAACAATAAAAAAAGGTGAAAATATTTTTCAACGTGCCATTATTCAGTAACATCGCCGTCGATCGACCCTTTTCACAGGGGGGCATGCCTAGTTGTGGATCTGCGGTGCCTGGGTATGGCTGAGACAATGATTTTTTTTAATTACTTAATTTTCACAGCAGAGATTAGAGAGGAAAACTCTCCAAAATAAGCTAGTCACAATTGATATACAGCTTCGCAAAAATGAAGGCGAGACGCAACCGTCTACTGTTAAAGAAATGAACATCCAGCTTTCCCATCTTTCTGGCCATGATATACACACCATCATAGGATCATCGCCACCATAGGATCATCGCCATCATAAGATCATCGCCATCATAGGATCATGACCGTCATAGGATCATCACCATCATAGGATCATCACCATCATAGGATCATCTCCATCATAGGATCATGACCATCATAGGATCATCACCATCATAGGATCATCTCCATCATAGGATCATGACCATCATAGGATCATCACCATCATAGGATCATGACCGTCATAGGATCATCACCATCATAGGATCATCACCATCATAGGATCATCACCATCATAGGATCATCTCCATCATAGAATCATCACC